ATTAATGAGAATAATAATAAAGTTAGGGAAGTATTTGATATACAAATTCCTGAATTCTCGCTAGAAGTAATTATAACGGGATCTAGCAAAATTACAGCACAAAATATAGCCGATTTATTTGCTATAGCAATAAAGTTAGACAAAAAGAGATTTTTATGCTGGTATTGTTACTATAAAGCATATGAGGATTGAATCGAAGACATTAAACGTGCAAATAAAATTGATGACCAATCAGCAAGAACATTGGTATACAATGAGATTAAAACACTACTCCCGGATATCACTGATGTAAACTTGCGACAGAAAACGTTTAGAGCAAAAAAAATCTATATATTACTCAAAGGAATAGGAGTAGAAAAAGTTCAAACAATAACATGTAGTGCAAGCGCAATTTCGAGTTTAACTGACAACCAAATTCAGGATATTATAAATTGCTTTCCTAAAAAATCTATTAGTGTGGATGATTCTTCTGTTAAATATCAAGAAAAGATCGGCGTTACAAATTGTAACGCGCACGTGACTGAACAATCTAATCTAAACAATTCAGAAACTGTAGTAAATAAGGAAGCCAAGAAAATTTTACTGGAAACAGAGGTAAGTATTACAACTACTCCCTCTATTAAATCATATCACGCCTCTAATTCGGAAGATATAGTAAATGAAAATAACGAATTTTCAGAGACTGTAACTGTAATTGATAGCTTTTCAGATTCTAACTTGGAATCCTCTAATGAAGGCGAGGGTGATGATGAAGACGAGTTTTTAGGTGAGAAAGATAAATCTTTACTGGAAACCAAGATAAGTACCCCATCTAATCCAGCTCATGACCATGTCAATTTCCGTAATAAAATGGCAGAACAATATCCTGATTTATATTGGAAAGGTAGTGATGGAAACAATGATTATTATAGAATTACTGATGAATCTTTATGCCCGCTATGCAAGTTAGATCATTATGAGGATTATGGTATAAAAGGCAGATATAAAACTGGATCCTATTTTATTAAATGTGAACAGCGTGGAATAAAAATTGAGATAACGGTATAAACTTTATCCCACCTTTTCGCAATACTTACTCAAAACCAAATATTTAATATATGATAATAAAACCCTTAAAGAGATATATAAAAAATAGATAACATATACTGATAGAGGCAGAGCCCCATTGAAGCAATAACTATATAATCTTTTTTCTTGATCTTGAGGAAAAAAAATGGTGAATAGGTTAATTACTTTTTTTTTCCGAACTGAAGAGGAAAAAAGGTATATTTATTTTTGTTGATTATTGTTAATTTAAAGAAATGTACAATCATATAAAACGGGAACATGAATACGCAGACAATGGTCAATAAAACATTAACTCCCGAATATTTGGAATGGGAAGCTAAATTGATAGAATTTCCAAGCATTTTGACAGATAAAATCCGTTCTAGGTTTTGTAAAAGATATAAGAAAAAAACTGGACTCGATCCCTGGATAAAGTCTGAAACCTCACAAATCGAAAAGACTGATAACTACCTTTCACAGGATTGTGTTATCAAAATTTCTAAATTTCCGGAAGAAAAAAGTATAATCCATGATGCAGTACATAAACGCTTCCCTTTCTTGTCTTACACTAATTCGAATGCATGGTATCGAGATGTATTTAAATATACAGATCCAGAAGCCAAATGTCCAATATGCAAAGAAGTACATACACGTTTAGGAATATGGGGCGACTGGAGCTGTCTAGGTAAAAATGATCATTATTTTCTTAATTGCCCTTTTCGTATCGATCAAAAGAAAGTTATTATTGCTGTACAGAGTTTACCGGAAACTCAGGGAGGGATACCAAACAAAACCCACCTTTATCAGCCAGAGGTTGGCTTATGCCAATATGCCATCGAACATAAAATGGATCCCGAGAAATTTTCGGTTATTACAGAGGCTGAGAAAAAAAGATGGACCATGGGATGCTTCCGTGGTGACCTGGAGAGAGATATACGCTGTTATCGTGAAGGAATAAAAAGGAATGAAGATACTAGAAAATACCATAAATTTTTAACAGATCGGGATAGGCTAGTCAGTGAAGAATTATTACATTGCGGTATACTAAAGAGTGGTTTATGTACTGCATGGCTTGATGATCTTATGGAAGAATGGGAAAAAATCCATACTCAATTCACCCAAATTTTTAACCAGACGAAACCCGAGGATTCAACTGAGGTGAATGTAAAAGCATAAATCGGAGTAAAAGGCTCGGCGCTCTGCCATCATTGAGTTTATAGCTAATTCGTTAAACCTAATTTTTGGTTATTAAATGGATATTTTTTTCACCAATCATTTATCTCTCCTTTCTTTTTCTATACCATACAAAATTCAGACGTAATGCTAAATCGGATTAATAATCATTATTTTTTCATTTAAGATCGAGATAAGATAAGCAAATCCGAGATGTGCGTAGATGTTCCTATATCTAGATCCATACTTTTAGACCGTATTGATATTATATTAACTCATAAATAAGCACGATAAAGGTGTGATGAAGATACGATGTAGATGCGACAAATTTTTTTTCTTATATAATTCTATGAAAAATAACACATCGTAAGCGTATCTCAGTTGAATACCATTACCACACTAAATATTTTTTTTGTGATGTGGACTGACGATCAATTGCGCTTACTAATCGATGAAAGAAGAAACCGAAATGCTGAGTACTACGATATTCCTGGAAGTAGTAGAGTGAATTTTTGGAATACTATCGCAAATATAATCAACGAACGATTTGGGGGCACTTATACAGGACAACAATGTAATAATAGATTTAAAAATCCTGCCTTCTCAGTCAATGACCTCGAAGCCAGATATATACAGTTAGCAGGTAATCGATAATACGTATATAGTTAACTATTTATCTTTTTCCGAACTAGAGAGGAAAAAGGGTGTTTCTTTCATGTCCGTATACCAAGGAAATACATTTTTTCTGCGCTGTAAAATACAATATTATTTTTCGATACTATATATCAGTTGCAAAGCAACGACTCAAAGAGCCATGAATTTAATAAAGCATATTCAGGTTTGATTAATAAATTACCACCATCCTTAGTTAATGAATCTTGGATCAAGAGAAAAAAGATAGCTCCGCTATAATTAGCAGTGGTAGTAATAGTATCAATAGAAATAATTTATTAAGTAGCGGTAATATAATCTTAGACGATAATTTTTGTAACGAAAAAAAATCTTACAGATATTAATAAAGTTATGGGGTTTTATATGCGGAATCATGTGGATGAGTCGTCTGCTGTATTATTATGCCATAATTTTGACTTACCACGTTATGTAATAGGTTATATTGTTACGGTTGGTGGTATTGTTGGGCGGGAGAGCCAATAATCTGGTGCGTAGGCGTGTTCGCCAACCAGGGATATGTCCAAATTAGCTTCAGCTAATCGCTACCCTTACTATAGCGACGTCTTATGACTGAACTAAAGCTACAAGTGACCTAATTTAATTATTTAATTTTGTGCGCACTTCCTACTCCCTATAATACGATGTACCTCCAGTACTCGTATCCAAATAAGGGTATCCGAGAATAGAGTATTAACAGCTATACTCTAAGCCGGAATCGAAGGGGAATTATATTATTATTAAACAGGGCGGTCTTCGATTTGGTATTTGACTAGTCGGGTATTGTCACTTGATATTACTAACTAATTAAACGAAAAGAATATTATGTTTATATACATAGCTAATTTGTCACAGAAAAATAAGAGGTATTACGTTCATCTAATTAATTACCCCTTAAATTTGTCACTAGAAATGAGGACGCAAAATGTGACAAAATGACGTCACTGTGCGAGTATGCTAAATTTAGATCGACATCGGAATTTTGTTGGGGAAGATTTTACCATGTGACTTGACTCAATGCGTCAGCGTTTCGGCTCGCCGTAACAATATGCAATATCATAAATTCATATGATTTTAGATTGGTTTATCGCGTAACTCGCCCTTTGAAGTTTTGTTAAAGGTACACGTATTATTTTGCAATCTCTTATCATTTAGTGGACCTGTAAAGCCTTGTTTAGTTTTGTACTTTCCTGGTGTTGTCACCTAAGTCGATATTTATTAAAAAGCTAATGCGTTTATCCGTGGGCCTGTAAAGCCTTGCTTGGTTTCGTACCTCCCTGGTGTTGTCACCGGATAACTGCACGCTAATTCATTACTATTCAACATAACACTTATTAATCGAATAAAAGTACTAATTATTCGTCTCTTTCTTTTTATCCCTTGCAAGCTATTACAATATGGTATGTATTTTTCCATTTTCCTATTGATTTGCAAAAGAAATAACAAAATGATTACTTTATGCTTGTGATTAGGTTGATTATCGCGAAGTTTTGAGGAATGCTCTTGCAAGCGGATTCGGAATTGTCAGGTTCTTTAAGATTGTGGAATACAGGTTTTCCCAACGCGATCAAGCAGAAAGAGATTTGAAAAGATCGCTGGAAGAAATAGCGTCAGAAAATGGCGAGCTATCTCCCAAGGCACAGGAGATACTCCGTAATTTTGATACCATGATAAAAAAATTAAGCGTGGAACGATATTGGTCCTCGGCTAAAGTAAACGAGGAGCGCGAAAAGACTCGTTCAGAAAAAATTATTTCTAACGAAAGAGAAGTGAGTAGAATGTCATACTTAAGTATAAATTTTAATGGTTTGATATGCTTACGTAGTAAAAAACTTTGAATGCAGGAACAGCATTTCTTTAACCTAAAGTCAAATATTGCTATGGAGCATGATGTCGCAAGCAATTCTTTTCGAACCCAAATTCTGGTTAGTTATATTTTGTTAATGCATATTTATGAGAAGCGTATTGTTTAATGTCTTAGCAAAATTTGGATTTTGTGAATCTTTCTGTCGGTAGGAACGTCTAAATAAAAAGGTACAGATATGCCTTTTGAAAATCAGTAGTTATTTAGTTTTTTTGTAACATATTCATGATGCTGATCTTTGTGTTTCTGTAGGATTCAATTGACGAGATCGGCACTTTCTTCCAAGACCCTTCTGACCAAAGGTCAACCAAATTTATTGAGAAACTCCAGGAATCAGAAATAATAAGCGACGACTCTGACGAAATATTCAATGAGGAGGACGAAGTATGATCTCGTAATTAAGTGAATTGTAATATTCATAGCAATCAATTACTAATCGGCGTGATTCCTTTTTAGGCTGAATCACAGAACTCCTTTTCCGCATCTAAGAATGATAATGATCCGGACTACATATTAAGGTATCGCATGATTATCCTTTGAACGATATTCTTCATTTTTTCTTAGACTGCAATTTTATTTCCTTTTGTAATACAAGCGACACTGACAAATCAACTTCCGAGGATGATGATGATTTGGATTGCAATGTGAGTTCATGTTACCAAAATTCATGTTTACAAATGGAAATAAGGAATTAACCTTTTTTCTCACATTGATACTTTTAGAACGATCATATAAGTAAGAAGGATTCTCCAAAAATTGACAAGGTGGCTTTTCAGAAGACTCATGATGCTATCCCGGACACTGTGAAGTTGAAGTTGAGCACAGGAAAAATAGTGGAGGACGTTCTTTTTAAATTTTGCAAAAACAAGGATTATGAACAGTAAGTTTCTCAAATTTAATTCTTTTTATCCTGCCATTCACAATACTGACGATGATTTGATTAGTCATACCCATTCATATATTGTTGACTTTGATGATAAGGATGTCAAAGCATTGTTTACTGATGAAGAGTGGAACGAACTAACCAAAGATCGAATTGAGGTTCCATCTTTTCCACGTGATATCGCAGAAGAATTAGCAAAATATGGAAGCAAATCGTTAAAAGAGCTACGCACAAAAGTGATGAAATCATATCTTAAGGAAGAAGAAGAATATGATGTCCACAAGCACTATAATCGAGAATGGATACAAATGACCATGCGAACACTTTGTAATCTGTATGAGAATGTAGATACCCCTTTAGTAAGGACCCAATACGAAGATTGGTTCACGGTTGCACTTTTTGGAACATGTATTGATTTCTGCATTAGGGATGCACAACTGGGCACTGATGTTAAGAGGTTTTATTTATTTCCGCTAATGTAAACAATGGATTACTATCATTTCATCATTTAACTTATTTATCACTTTTATAGAACTGACGCACCGTCATTGAGTAGTGCAAACAGAAAGAATCGGCATCGGAAAGCAAATGCAAGAAAGCTCATTGGTCGCAAAATTGATGGGATAATATACGTAACTAATAGACTTCTCGAAATCGGGCCATCGAAGGTGCAAGGGCTTTTGCAGGAGTTTCAGATAACAAATACCTTCTTGAGTCATTCAAGATGCCCAAAACACTTCGAGATATTTATACTGATTTAATCAAGGCTGTGAATTTTGACGAGCAAAAAGCAGATAAACTTCAAGTGTTTGGAATCTTACACTTTGGGTTGTATATTCAATTCGCAAGATTATGGCGCGCTGGTGGATCGATCTGCATTTTTCGCAAAGATCCCCAATCTTTCTATGTAGATAGCAAATTCTCAAAAAATGGATTAAGTTCCTTCATTAGGCTTCTGAAAAAGATATACCAATTCAAGGTATGAAAAAATTTTATATTGTAGTTATTGTTTTATTTTATTCCATGTTCTAATTATTTTTTACAGATTATGATTAAGAACAATCTACAAATTCTTAACATTCTGAACAATGGTGATGATGATACTGAATCTGAGGACTTACTAAAGGAATTGCTTGAGGATGAACAATACTCTACTCCGCCACTCACGCAAATTAAATTTTTTGCTGAATGTGAAAATACCCCAAAGAAAAAAAAGAAAAAAAGGAGTAATTCAAAGGAAAAGAATTCCGGGCGAAAAAAAATAAAGTCAAATCATTCCGTAATTTAACTTTTGTGACAAACCAGTCTTATAATGTAATACAATATTCTCTTAATACAGTGTTTATCTTTGACACGTATTACACAAAGTATAAAGTTTCAGCAATATAATTTTCAGTTGCATATTTAAAGCTTTGAGTTTATTCAATGAGACCCAATTCTCGAAGATGCTCTGGAATAACTTTATATGGGTCTTCGTAGTACCAAACATACCTTAAAACGATCCAATTTTCTTCGCATAATTCTTTCTTGAGTTGATCCCGAACCTGCTGTTTAATAAAATTATTGGGATCTCCCTTATGAAAGAATTCTATATATCTTTCGTGTTGTTCTCCTTGTACTTCGGTTGCAAATCCATATTGTGGGTAACAAATGTCAAGTTCTAATCCAGTTGGGTGATCTAAAGTTTTAAGAAAATCAGGTCGACGTATCTTAGATGGCGGTCCAAGATATTTTGACATAATCTCTCGACACAATCTTTCACGTTTATATTTAGAGCAATATGGACACCATGTATTATCATTTTTTACATGAGAAAGGGTGGCATACCATTGATGGTTTTTATTGCATCTCCAGAGTAACTGACTCTTGCAATTGATATAAGAATCTGTCAAGCATTCCCCAGCTCGACTATATGCAATAGATTTGGCTAATGCAATATCAAATTTTGTACTAGCACAATGCGGGCACCAAGAGTCTTTGTTTTTAATACCACTGATGGAAGCGAGCCATTCATGTGATTTGGAACATCTCCATCGTAAATGCGTTGTATAATTGATGTAAACATCGGATAAACACTCTCCATTTCTGCTACGTGCTAATTCTTTCGCATATTCAATGTCAAGTTTCTCAGACTTACCTACACAATGTGGGCACCAAGTCCCTCTTTGAATACTATCGATTCGAGCAAACCATGAATGTCCTTTAGAACATTTCCAAGATAGTGGAGTACGTCTGTTATGATAAGAACTAGAAAGACATGTCCCACTCCTTTTATTTGCAAGATTCTGGGCGAATTCAAGTCCAAGTTTCATACACTCACGACACCAATTTTTTCCATTTTTGACATTTGAAAGAGAAAGGAGAAACCGATGACTATTTTCACATTCCCATAAAAGAGGCGAGTTAATATTAACGTAATTCTCAGAAATACACCATCCATTTTTAGCGCATGCCAATTCTTTGGCCACTGAAATATTGAGTTTTCTATTTGAGCAGTAAGGACACCATGAATGGCGATTTTTGATAGATCGAAAAGAACACTTCCATTGATGGTATTTGCTACATTCCCAAAGCATTGGAATTTCACAATTGATATATTCTTTGGAAAGGCATTTTCCTCCATGAGATTCTGCTATCTTTATTGCATCATTCAAAGAAAATTTTTTAGGCATTGCGAATAACAAAATATATTTCTTAAATAATTATTCTACTTTTCAATATACTATGGAATATTATGAACTACGCAAATTAGACGAAACTATACCTTCAAAAAAACAGAATCAATTCGCACCTAGACACCCATTTAGATTATTGGTTGCGGGCACCTCTGAGTCTGGAAAGACGAGCATGGTAGTACATCTGCTCCTAGGAAGTAAATATCCAAAAATATATCCGTGGATGTCTGGTGAAAAACATGGTTATAAAATACCAAAAGGAGGGAGCAAAAATTTTGGTGAAAGGTATATTCCGTGTGATGATCTAATTGTTGTTGCGCAACATCAAGATGAAGAGTTATGGGAAGCGGTACAATGTTTTTATGAATTTATAGCTATGGATAAGCAAGCTCCATGGTACGAAAATGTGAGATTCAAGCTGATCGGGCCTGAAGAGTTACCTGATATTTCATCTTTTAAAGAAACAGGCCGATTCACTCTTATAATCTTTGATGATCTTGCCGGTGAACCTTTAGCAACACAACTGAAAATCATACCTTTCTTTAGATCAGGTAGACATGAAGGAATTAGTGTAATTTATATTGCCCAACGTTTTTATGAAACCCATTCAAATATACGCGCAAATCTTAAATATATTTCACTGCACCGTGGATGTGGAACATTAGATAGTATAAAGCGAATTCTTAAAGATATGTATGATGATTATGAGCCTCTAGCAAAAAAAGTCTATGAAGTAATAAAAAAACACTTTGTAATTATTGATATCCGAAGACCATCTAATGATCCCTTATCAATTCGATTTAGATGGGACAAACCTTTAAAGGACTAGCAGGAATTTGAAATAAATGCTTTGTGACCTCATCCATATCCATAAGGAAAAGTTTCATTGGAGGTAATCCTGTCTTTGAGTTTTTCTGCATGTTTATTTCTATGGAAAGGTAATATATATTTCTTAATAATTTGTGGCGAATATATACACGAGTAATTTTTTCACTATATATATACCAATAATTAACGATGTATGATGATAGCTATGATAAAATGATACACTTTCATTTTTGCCATACTGAGGAATGTTATGAATTTGTCGAGGAATATGGATGGAGAAAAGGATGGAAACTTGGTTGGTATTTTACTTATCGGGATTGGTTACACCTATTTGACAAGATCAAAAAGCATTGGAATGAAAAAATGTTAGGCGATGGAGAGAGAAAACTCTGCAAAAATTCGTATATAACATACCGGATATAAAGAATCCAGAAGCACTACTACAAGGATTTATGATTTCTAATGCATTTACATTAGTAGAAATTATAAGCTTGATAGAAGAAAAAGAACTTTCAAATATTGCATATGACATTTGGGGTAAAGATGAGTGTCCGCCTTCATACTTCGAAAGTGATTCTGAGGAAAGTACAAGTATTATGTGAAATCAAAGCTAACTTGATATTCTACATGTGTAATAAAAATCCAATTCATATGTCTATCGCAAATCTTTCAACAAAGTACATTTCATGCATTAAGTATCTATTGAGGTGGAAATTGTATATCCTTGACAATTTGAAGTTCTTCTCGTACAAATGATCTTTCCGGCCCATCAAGTAATTTGTAAAGTACTGGTTGATTTTCTCGAGTAATAGTTTTTTTAATATGATAAATCTGTGGGGACCAATACACATCTGTAACATGACATCTTCCACCTTCTAACTCACCTGGTTCGAGCAAATATCTTACTGAATCATTGTAAGATAATCGAGGCTCATCAAATCCTATAGGACTATTACGAGGTAAAGAAGATTTGGCAATAACCTGTTTCTTTTTTATTGCCTCCATAGGACTCATTCCAAGAAGTCGAGTTATAGAATTATTGAGATCCTTAACAATAATCGGAAGATTCTTAACCCAGGCCCGGGATCTTTTAGATAAAGGTAGCAATAAATCAGAAGCATCTTGTAATCGAAATAATCTTTCAGCTAATGTTCGATTAAATCTTTCAACGATACTTTGACTGCGATGTGATGTGTCTAACTTAATTTTTACATCATATTTAATCATTAATTCTTCACATTTTCCACGAAACTCAATGCTCTTATCAATATGTAACAATTTTGGCCAAACAAGAGGGTATTCAGAGTTATTATAAATTTTTTCAAATGCTTTAGCAACTTTGTAAGAAGTACGATCTGTCAGAGGATATGCAATTTTAAACCTGCTGGCCACATCAACTATTGCAAGAATAAAACGGTAAGTCTTATTTCCAATCTGATCATAAGGCATATAAAGAAGGTCTGCTTGATGGCATTCGTTAGGAATTTGTATTGTATTAAATGATGCTCGAGGAATATACTTTGGAAATGACTTGTGAATCTGAAAAACGGCTTGCTTATTTAACCAGTCTTTTATATCTGTTAGCAAAAAATTATAACCAGCTTTTTTACAAACATCTCTCATTTTTTCAGCAGTACGATAATAGCCTTCAGGCCGGTAATATATTTTTTATAAAGTAATACCCCTATCTAGTTCACGAGCCCTTCTGGGGTCAATATAAATTACAGGTTCACTTATAACTTTTATTATTATAGTAAATAAAAAACATGGATGATTTACGTCAAGCTAATCAAGAACTTCATAATGAAATCGATCGATTGGCTCAATCAAACTAGGAATATGAGCGTCGAACTTATAACCTTGAAAGGGATATAGTCTTGCGTAAAGAAAGGATCTGGTATCTCGAGGAGGAACTAACAAATACAATTGAACTTTCTATACACGAAAGGGAGGAATTAGAAAAAGAGATATCTGGCCTAAAAAAAAATCGTCTATCACCTTAAAAAGGAAATCAAACAAAAAGACAAGGAACTTATTACCAGGGAAAACCAACTAGCAGAATTTGATGTAAGGGAGAAGAAACTCAAAATCCGAATTCAGGAAATATCCAAATCAGCAAGTAATACTCCCAAAGCATATAATCAGATGGCAAAGCTAATAGATGAGAATGAGTATTTGAAACATGAAATCGATATTTTAAAATATAATCTTAGAGATCGAGACAATAAATTAGTCCAGAAAAAAACTCGTATAACTGATTTGCATTGCCAAAATTTTGGTATTAGGTTATTGCATTATCGGGATAGATTGGA